ATTGATAAATTATTAAGATTAAGTGTCTAGCTAAGTGGTCCTTTCAAATTAGCTTCATGATGAGGGGGAAAAACAAATCTAATTATTATGAATTAAGACACAAAAATGCACGTGTTCGCACCCACACATTCATTCCTACGGCGGTACTGTCTTGTAGTCGTAGTGCGCTACAAAGCCAAAGCAAGGTTGGGCTTGCTCCTTGGCGGTATTTATTTGCCACCCACATGGGTGCCACGGATAAATATAAAAATATACGGCATCCATTATGGAAAATGTTTACATTACTCTGTGATTGTATTAAGAGCGTTTAATGTATATTTATTTCTATGACAATTTTACAATTAATAGTCGACTCATACCTGCCATAAAACATTAATACTAATACTCGGACTGAATACAATTCAATACAAAATTATTAAAATGTCAAAAGTATAAGTGTAAAAACGAACACTTTTGCGATCGGTTAACAAATTGCTTCGGCTTATTTCCTAACCACACCGTATCTCAGTCTCTAGATAATTTTTTTTTTTTTTTAAGTTACCCTAAATATTAACAAATAAGACAAAAAAGTAAATAACCGAATTTCATCAACTTAGCCGTGTACATACCTTGTTTTTCGTCAATAGTCCATGTGTTGTTAAGGCTAAGGTCTTTCACTATTGGCCCGGAAGTCGACACGCTTCCGCGTTTTCGGCAGTCACTGTGGTGAAAGAAACTCTCGCGAAGCTTGATTTCAGTTGTGAAAAAGAGAGGTTGGTTTTGAGCACCACCTTACAGACACAACTTAGTGGGGGCTTTGGTCTCTCGCATTGCGCTTCTAAAATACACAAAGCGAACAATTGCAGATGCACGCATTAAATTTTGCTTAAACAATGAGATTCATAAATAATTATGACCACCTTAATTTTTAATTGACTAAATTATTTATTTATTTTCTACCGGCTTTAGGTTTACGCCAGGTTGACCAACCCTACTAGGAAAGCAGGCGTCCCGCTACGTCAAATATTGCGGCTCGTTGATGCCTTATTTATCTCCCCACCCAAAAAAACTACTTATATTCGTTCCTCATTCGATGGGAAAAACAATCAATTTAAAACGATAAGAGAGTGGATCTATAAAATGATATCTAATATTTATTAAGTTTTGTTTTATTCTGTCCTGCTACTACTATTAGTATTTCATTGTGTGCATTAATAATACATAAACAATTCTATATAAAGTGGGTTTATTTAATATTCTAATCTCAGGTGTAAGGACATGCGGCCCGCGGACGGTTTACTCGCAATCAAAGTGGCCCGCGAAGCTTTTTGTGCTGGTCACCCCTGGTAGAGGCTGCTGTCTCGAGCGGCAAATTTTACAAGTGTGGTTAAACCAAGAAAAGAAGAAGAAAAATATTAAAATAAACTTTCCGTTTATTAATTAGACACAATCAATGGACTGGCCTTGGTTAATGCTACGCGGAGTTCCTAGATTGTTTCCGTATCCTTCCATGATAAAACCCTGAAAAAATTAAGTCTTCAAATTCAGTAAATGTCAATGAATCCAACAATATAGGTCGCTGCATGGGATTTGACAAAATACAGAAAATTTAATACCAATATTACACAACTTATCTGAGTAAAATCAAAATCGCTATCAAGCAACTGTTACGGTGGTTCTTACAACTAAATAAGGAACCCATCTTATTGAAACCTCAGTGCTGAATCCGCCTCTGCCATCCCTGATGACAGATAAACGCCCCGTATCAGATTTTCTTTCTCTAGTCAACAAGGGGCTAGGGTTAGGGTGCTTCAGCCGTTCAGGGACTTCGCCAACTGATTTACGTAAGATTTCGGTGATAGCACTGAGTAATTGTACTGATTGTTAGGCACCTTCTTATCTCTTGCTATCTGCGTTAAAAGTGATGACCTTTCAATTTCAAGAAAATTCGCAATGTTCCAATCTATTATTATAATAACGGAGTTGTTTTGTGTGTTTGTGTGTGGGGAGAGGGGAGTAGTAAGAACTGTTCTTGGTTGAGAGTAGGGAGAGCTAGAAATATGTATTTGGGTGGGGGGTGGGGTGCCAGAAATAACTTCTTTTTTTGTTTGGGGTGGGTGGGGTCTAGAAAGGACTGTTTGTGTGTGTGTGTGTTTTCCTCTATACAATCAATATTATCAAAAGAAAGCTTTCTAAACAGGCTCCCCCCCCCACACACACACACACCAGCGGGTCTCAACTATATTGCTATATTGGCTCTATTGTTGTTAAGGGGAATAGGGCTGTCAAACAACATCAGTGTGTCTGAAAGTCAAATTTTGACTATTGAACAATTTATCAGGAACTGATCCAAATCTCCGCAGAATGGAGGCACATTGCTGACATAAGTCAAGTATCCAATTTAAACAATCAATTCATTATTAATATAGGCCTATGTGTGGATCTTACATTTTTTTTAACAAAAAATAATAATTATGCATTGAACTTGAACAGTGTCCGTATTGTGAAATAAATGTTATTTAAAATTGAAACCTGCCATACACTTATTAACAAACCCATTTTCGCACTGTTTTTTGATTGGAAAATATAATAATAATAATAATAAAGTTAATTTAAAAATCACGCTTCATCCCCAAAGGCTCGAAGCGCGGTACAAAGTCAACCATATTAAAAGAGAAATGAAAAAATCTATATTATACCACATTGAAATACAAAACGCAACATTACAAAAACTACATACGAGAATACCCATTCTAAGTCTTTCATCCCTTGCAAACATAAACAACACAGGCCAATATACATCTAGAACAGTGGTTCTTAACCTTTTTGAAGGTACCGAACCCCACCAGTTTCATATGCGCATTCACCGAACTTTTCTTCATAGGAAAAATAAAATATGATTTTTTTTCCTGATTTTTTTTGGACCTCCACGGAACCCCTGAGACTGACTCACCGAACCCAGGTTAAGAACCACTGATCTAGGAGATAATAGCCAGCTGGAAAAGACAACGGCACCCCAGCAGGTGTTTGGGAAATAGATGTGTTTTCAATTCGGTTTTTGAAAGACTCCAGTGCCACCGTATGATTTGGCCAAATCAAATATTCTAGAGCAGTGGTTCTCAACCATCCTAATGCCACGACCCCTTAATACAGTGGTGACCCCCAACCATAAAATTATTTTCGTTGCTACTTCAAAAATATGGGTTTTACGGTGGTCTTAGGCGACCCTTGTGTCAAGGTCGTTCTCACCCCACAGGTTACAGAGAGTATTTCAAATTATTTTCTATTGTAATTTGTAGCCTATAAATTATCTTTTGTGCGGTTGAAGAGGCCCTAAAATATTTAAAAGATTTACGTAAATCTGCGCTTAAAAGAAAATGTAGGTCTCGCTCTCTGCTGCAGGATTTATTTCACTTGTTTGAAGTTGTTTCAACCCTTTACTGAACTCGTTGACAAACAAATCTTTCCCGCCACAAACATCCGGTCCCATCCGCGTAGCAAACACGGCCGTTTGCCGAAGACGGGCAAAACTCATTTTAAAGACATGTCTCCAAATCTTGACAAACATATACGGTCAACATGGAGAGAAAGAGCGGGTTGAGAGAGAGAGAGAGAGAGAGAGAGAGAGAGAGAGAGAGAGAGAGAGAGAGATTGTTATGGGGCTGGGGGAGCACACCGTGTGACGAGACATAGATTAAAGTTAATTTAAATTGATGTAATATGTGAATATCATTCAATATGAACTGGTATCCATCATCACTTAACCGCAGTAACTGGAGTTTACTGGAGTGTTCGGGAAGTAGGTCCCATGTGTCAGTTAACATAGCCGAATCTATAACAGACAGTGGGGCTTTTTATGGTGTAACCTCTTTGTGGAATGACCCCGTAGGCCTACATAGGCCTATATCTGTTAATCGCTAAATCATTGAATTTAAATTATTACTATTATTATTTTATTTTTGCAGATTCTGAGATTGTTGATTCTTGCGTTTAATTAATTACCTAAAGAAACAACACACGCAATATCGTGCCTACCCACAGACAGAATCACCCCAATTCGATGTTTTAAATGGTTATAAGTGATTGATTTTCTACGGACGAACTAACATATTGTTTGAAGCAGTGCAATTGAAATGTTCTTTATTTGAGGCACCTACGCTGAATAGATTTTCTAAATGTCCACCAGTCAGAGCATTTCGTTTTTTTGTTTTTTGTTTTGTTTTTGGATTTGATGTTGGTATATAATATAGAATGATGATGTTTCACTTAGAGGCTTTCAAAAACATAGTCCAAATTTTGTTAAAGCATTTCCTTATTTTGGGAAATACATCAGAAGAAACATACATCGTCCACAAATAATTTTGCTGCGCATTTTTATGTTTTTTTTGTTTTGTTTTGTTTAAAATACGTTAAAGAGTGAATCGTTCGAACTATCTTTCAAAATTCTTCCCCTACTAAATTGAAATGACTACAAACAAGAACACATTATATCCTGCTTTCTACTAATTAATTGTCTCGTACTTTGATCTCTGAATACCTATGTATTTCATCTAACTTGGTCCCGTTGGTGGGGGCATGGATATTTTTACAATGAACTAATAGCTACCCATCACATGGCCGCATGCGGCTCGCGGGTTGTACATCGCTGGTTTAAAGCGTGTAAAAAAAAACGAACTTACATCAGCTGGTGTACAGATAATTATGAGACAGACTCCATTTATATATACTTTAAAACGGCAAATGAAACGGGTTCGCGATCTACGATACGCGACGGATCAAGATAAATGTTAACATTATTTAACTCAACTCTTGAATGACTTTTATTTGTGACGTTAAAATACTATGTGGTTGTTTTATACAATTTTTATGTATGCCAGAATTTTGTACATTTTCCGTCATTCTTATTTTCCCTATTCGTCAATATTTTTGTTGATTTCGAAAGAAAATTGAGTGGTTAAAATTTTAGCATATAAATGAATTTTGAACAAATTTAACTTTAAAATATTTTATTACAATTATTTTTTTGTTTTGATTAAAATTGCTGTAATTCTTTTATAATCCTCTCAAAATTAAGGCGCACTACTCTGTTTGAATTTCTAGATGTTACTTTCGTTTCCATGATTAATTTCTCTAACTCCACCATTTGAGTTGTGAGATAATTGTCATATTTCAAGCTTGCTAAACGAAAGGAAAAGTTCCTAAGTATAATTTTGTCATTTAGCTATAAATGGTAAGTTTCTGTGTGACTTGTGTTTAAATTTAATGGATACATTTTATAATAATCATTGATTGAATCATTCATTCATTGAAAAGATTAGAATTGTACAGCTAAAGAAAAGAGTAAAGACTAAAGAAAGACTAAACAGACAGAGTAAACTGTCTTAGTCTTACTATTACTATTACTATTCCTTTTGCGTCCTACTCAGTCTTACTCTTTAAACTAAAATCAAAAATAGAACATACAAGTTAAATTAATAAATAATACAATTATTAAAATTAAAGTACATTTAACTTAAAATTTAATAAAGTTAAAGTGCCGTTATTTAACTGCGTTAAAGAAATTAAGATTTAGAATGTGAGGATTCAGCTAACAAAAATCTTAAAATTTTATTTTCTGATCCCACACTGTGATGTGCTTAGGATACACACATTCTCACATAGTCACATTCACAATGATTGTGACAATATATGATATGGACAACAGCCAGCAGCGCAGTCATGATAGTAGCTACAGTTGAAAAGTGAATCCAATGTCACTGACATTGTCAATAGAAATCTGTGTTTTTATCTTCATTTCATTATCGTTGAGACTAAGACTTATAGAGTGTAAATAAGGGATTACCTAAAATCTCCACCTACGCTCTCTCCATAATTTTGTTGGCATAAGGTGGCAGGACAAAGTCCTTGATTCATAAGTCCTAGATTCATAAGTCCTACAACAGACTGACTTTATCAGCATCCACACATTCCTACAAAAAGGACAAGCCAGACGGGCAGGGCATGTTGCGACAGTAGAATTCCTTAACAACTATTGCTCGGTGAACTCTCCAGAAAGAAACGCTCTGCTGGTGGGCAGAAAAAAATGCATAAAGGACTGTTTAAAAGATTCACTCAAATCCATGGATATCGACCTAAATATGTGAGAAACACTTGCTATGGATCGTACAAGCTGGCAGACTCCTCGCTGTTAGAGCCAAATCCCTAGAGAGCACAAGCACCTCTCATGCGCCAAAGCTTTCCAGTCAAAAATAGGACTGGCAAGCCACTTGTCTACTCACCGTTGAAAATAGCCAAGGTCATCTTCTCATGCAAGGAAGAAGAAAATGTTAAAATCCCAAAACTTGTAAAAACCTGTTTTTTTTTAGGCCTTTACAGACAGTATGAGTTCCAAAGATACTGTTGTCTCACATTTCAATCACTCTTAGTCAGTGTTTATTGAAATAAGCAGCTTTTAAATTTTTACAGGAATGCTATTTGTTTCTTTTTTTTCTTCCCATTTTCCATCAGGTTTTCCCTAACTATTTTTGTTGTTGTTTCCTTCTATAATTATGAAAATAACTTGAAAGTTGTATACTAAAAATAAGAAACTCAACTCAAAACTCTTTTTGTTGATTTTATATATTTATAACTTGTTTCTAGAACATAAACGGGAAGTTACTTGTTTACTCCAGTTGACAATATCTAGCCAGTCAGTGTTTCCCAAAATTTTCTATACTTCCCTAAACAAATTTTTTTACTAGTCTTGCACCCCCAACAAATTTTTTACTAAGGCTTGCACCCCTTTCCTACAAAAGTAACAGTGCATTTTAAAATAATGGATTCTTAATTTATTTATTGAATTTTTATTACAAGAGAACTGTAGCACTTTAAATATAAATTTCCGACTTATGACACAAAGGAAAATATTAATGAATACATTAAAAAGCTAATGCATGTTGTTTGGTTTTTAATAGTTGTAGGATTTGGGTTAGGGCCAATGTTCCCTCTAAGGTTTGCTGGTTTGTGTGCAAAATCATACAGTTATGTGCAAAGTTTTAAGCATCAATTTTTTTGTGTGCAAAATTTTACAGCCCACAAACACACACTTAGTGGAAATTTGCAGCGCAGATACTCAAAACTGTTGCGCTGCATCTGTGAGTTAGCTGCGCGGCCAAGCAGCCGCGTAGCTTAAAGGGAACATTGGTTAGGGCTAGGGATTAATTTAAATTTCAAAAGTAATTAGTGTCACACAATGCCTGTGACTTCAGCCTACTAGAGAGTTACCATTTTCTTTTTTCTTAGGCAGTTACTCTTCAAACAGATATTGGAGATTTGAAACTGGAGCTTTTCTGTGAACAGTGTCCTATAACTTGTGAGGTAAGTGTTTATTATTGTAAAAATCATTTACTTTCAATGTTAAAATTGTTAATAGAGAAGTTTATTTTATTCTAATAGTAATGTTACAGGAAAAATTACAATTCCATTTGGAACCTAATCGATTTAGTGTAATTTTTAATTTTTTTTATTTTTAAAGAATTTTCTTGCTCTCTGTGCAAGCGGTTACTATGACAACTGTTTGTTTCACCGAAATATTGCTGGTTTTATGCTACAGACAGGAGATCCCACAGGTATTTTTTATTGCTTGCAATTAGTGGTTTTAACCCTGGAAAGAATGTAATTTTAAACATTTACATTAGGGTAATATAGACTTATGCTATTAGTTTCAAATATGGAAACTTTGTGAACTTATTTATTTAATTATCAAAGCTATATAAATTTGTATTAAATTTAAAGGTACTGGCAAAGGAGGCAAAAGTATCTGGGGAGGAAAATTTGAAGATGAATTCAGGGAAAATTTGAAGGTATTTATTTTCTTTTATGCAATTTCATTGGCGATAATGATTTAAGTTTTTGTTGTTGTTCCCTTTGATACTGTAAACTTATAAATTAATGCCATACTCCCTTTTAAAAATTTAATTTACTATACATCATTTGTTTTGATCTTCCTGGGGAGGGGTACTAATTACAATTTCTGGATTCCAGTTTTAAAAGAGGAATCTCAATGTAAACTTCAAGATGACCAACAGAATTAACTCACTTTATTAGTACTATAGTACCCTGCCTCAGGAAGATCATCACAAACAAGTTTTCTCTGATCTTTGCTATTAGTCTAGTTCTATGGACATTTATAACATCATTGTTACTATTGTTATGGTAACTTTGTGAATGTTGTGTCTTTTTCACTGTCCTTGAGTTTCCTTCAAATAAACAGGGAAGCGATTTCATTTAGTCAAAATTGTATGTTCCTGGTGTGTCCCAACCAACCAGAATCCACTGTAATTGATATTTTTCAACACAATGAAACCCTATTTTCCTGCAGCACAGCACCAGAGGAATAGTCTCAATGGCCAACAATGGCCCGGACACAAATGCTTCTCAGTTTTTCATCACTTACAACAAACAGCCTCACTTAGATATGAAATATACAGTTTTTGGAAGGTAACAATTTTAACTATTGCTCAAATGCAAAAGAAACAAATTAATTACAATAAAACAAAGGAATATGATACATTCCTACATTTATCATGTCTTAAGTAAGCAAAATCTGACAATTTTCATTTTAACCAAGGTAATATTTAAAATTTCTTTGAATACAGGGTCATCGATGGTTTTGATACCCTGGATACTTTGGAAAAATTGCCAGTCAGTGAGAAGGGATACAAGCCTTTGACAGAAACAAGACTACGGGAAGTGACAATACATGCTAACCCAATAGCAGAAGCCGCTCAGCAGTAGTGCACAAGATTTGAAATAGTTTTGTTGATGTACATAAAGCTTTTTTTACAAGATGATGGTCTTATTGATTTTATTAAAACATTTTGGTAACAGAGATAAGAATTATTCAATATCTTACTATGAAACTGAAAGTGTGTGAGATTTTTAAATATTAATTAATAAAGTTGTTATGAAATTTTAAAAAAATGATTATCTGCAAGCTCCTAGATTAGTGCAAATATATTAAAATGTCATCCTGAGATATGGACATTTGAAGTTTATAATGTGGGGGGGGGGGGAGGGGGAGAGAGAGACATTAATTAAACTAATATTTTAAATTTTGCCGCATTCAAAGTCACAGCTGTGTAGTCATTGGTGGGGCTTGTCTGTAAGTGGTGTATATATTTTTTCTTCAAAGATTACTTTGTTCATATTTCAAAAGGATTTCACAAAATGTTATATATGTAACTTAAATATATATATATATAAAATAATCAATTGTCCAACTGACACAAGATTGCCAGGTAATAAAACCTCAACAGCAATAAGAACTTGTTTTGTTCTGACGAACTCACAAGGTACGAATATGAGAAGATGTTTAATGGATTGGATCAAAAGGATTGTGTTGTATATTTTTACTATAACGTTAATTTCTCAATGAAAATTACTTACATACATATTGAATGATCAACACTGACAAGCAATTTTATTTGCATTTTATTTTTATTATATACTTTAGCTACTTTAAAAAATGTTATCACAATAATATAATTATTGATTTATTGTCTATTTGTGGCATCAAACATTGAGGTGAAACCTGTCCTGAAAAATAAGAAATAAATGTTACATTAAAATAATTTTGATAAGTTACTTTTAAGGAGAACATTTTGATTTGATTTTTAGTGCTTTTTAGTTTTTAAATGAAATATTTAAATTAAGTTTTGACTTTTAAAATTCATAGTTTACATTAATAGAAAAAGGCACAGGTGGGAAATTTGGTTACAATTAGATTTGTGATGCAAGCATAATGTAATATTCCTTTTATCATATGATATATTTAAAAACTGGTACCAGCATACGTTTACACAACGAAACAAGAATTAATTGTATTGTTTATAAGGAAACATAAATTGTCAAGCTATTGACAATGCTATCAATATAACCTGGTTAATGCCACCATGCTCCATCCAAGCAGCCAATAGTGATGTGATGTTTAAAGCTGTTCCTGACACCTGAAATTGATTTATTAAGTTTAGGGGAAAATGGAAATGGTGGGAAAATGGTTGAGAAAACTTGTTTAAAATACACAAGGAAGGTGAAGCTTTATTTGAGTAAGACAGATCCAATTAAAGTTTTCTTTAGTTAAGAAAACATTTTGGACTGAATATACAGAACATATAGAAGAAAAAAGGGAACAAGGCCCCGGCACAAAGAAATTATGGATGGAAGGGGAACTGTTGTACTGTACATCAATGTCACGGATGTGGTTATCATTATGAAAGTCAATATCCTTAATCTGCAAGAATTAATTTTCCATAAACATTCATGATTCAGGGTGATTTTACTAGTCTTGGCATTCAGGAGCTTGATTTACTTAAGCTTTATGGCAGTGCCACCCTCATTTTGTTGGAGAATCTTGTATAAACAAGTTCAAGTCTCTGTCACTTATAATATGAAAAAATAATTGAAGAGCATTTTTTTTTTCAAAGGGTGCACATTTTTGGGTATGCTTTCTGTTGGTTTCCTCAGTGTTCATTACATATGTCCGACTGTGTCAAAAAATTATAATGACTATTTTTCATTATTAATTTTGAGATTGACCATAAGAAAATGTAATTGGTATTTCCTGATAGTTTTCTCAAAACTTGAAATTCGGACTTAACCTTTTTTTTTTAAAAAAAAACACCTTTCAATTCAGCTAATAACACATAAAATAAGCTAACTGAATTGAAAAATAAAAGTATGAAACTCATAACAGCTGTCTAAAAAATAATAATTCATTTTCATCATTATTAAAACATCATTGATATCTAATATTGAAGTATTTCCAGAAACCTTCAACAATGAGATCAGTCTATGGTAAAGCTCCAAACAACGTGTGTCTACTACTTTGTATAAAATAACTAGGAATTTTTTTTAATGAGCACTGCATAAATGCCTGACAAAATAAAGAGAGATTTAATTAAATTTATCACGTGTCCCACTACAAACAGAAACAATAAAGAAAAGAATTAACTAAATTTAAGTTATACAATTAGATTGCAGTCTCACGCATTTTAAAAAAACAACTTTACACTAAACTTACCATTTGTACAAGTGGAGCAGGCCTGAAGTCTGCATGGTTTAGGCTGTGTTTAACCATCAGCCGACGACTGACAAAGTCACCCAAATCAGAAACACTGGCAATCTGTGACATGGATGAAATTATATGAAATCTGATAGAAAATGCCTGGAACAATTTTTTTCATGAAAACAATATTTAAAAATAAGCAAAATTACATGCTTCTTACACTAATAACTTATTGCCATTTGGATCACTTCTTTTTGAAATGTACTACTACTAGAATACACTAACAGACCCATAACGGCCTACTCACAGTAACATGTTGTTTAAGACTTGGCGCTAATATCTGGACATCAAGCCTCCTCTGCTCAGCAAGTTTTAGCTCTTTGGCACTGGCTTGAGACAACCTGTCAGTCAGGAAGAGCAAGTTTTAATGAATAAAGTTGATCAACAGGTAATTTATTATCACTATCAAACAGTTAATCTCTAAACTAAACAAAATAATGATCTTTAAATGAATCAGAAAAAAATATGTTTTTGGTTAACATAGGTTTTAGGTCAAAATTTATATTTTCATTTTTTTTAAATAGAAAAAAAATGGTTGAAAAATAAAAGACATGACATAAAGGTAGAACCCTAAAAGAATACAAGCAATATCTTAAATAATCCATCAAATAAGCAAAACAAAATAAAAATGTATCATTTTGGCACAGCATTAAGATAATTTACCTCATGGACAATCCAAAGGGCTCTAAGAAATTCCATATCAAATTAACCGTTTCATCAAACTGTAATTCCAGGTCATCCTTTTTCACACATGAAAACACCCCAGCCTGTGGACGGTATGACTTTTAGTATGAGACTTCTTCATTATTTCCTAACAACAGGTTACCTCAAAGCATAAGAAATGACAACAGTGATGTAAATTTGTGACAAATTTATTGTTAAATCTTATTGCTGTGTTCAGTTGATGGTTGGACAGTGAAGTTTTATTTAGTTAAGATAAAACAAAATATTTTACAATTTTCTTTCTTTTTATTTTCTGAAATTAATTGCATAATAATTCATCATAATCAGCGGTTCAAATATGATTTATTTATTTTATGTCGGCGAAAGAAATGTTTTTTACTTTGTTTTGCATAATTAAATAAAGCTTCAGCTTGTTTGTTTACACCAATAGTTTATTTCATTGAACATGGCCTACTTCATCGTTTTAAAAATTCAAAAAAATTTAAGATATTAAAAATGAAATTCCATTGAATACAAAATAGCCTCTTTGTGATATGAGTATTATCATAGATACATCTAAGCAGAGTAACTAATAAAAAAAGTGTATGCAACATTATTAAGCTCATTATTCACCTGTATGGACTGAACAGCTCCGTAAAGTCCTGGTAAATCGCCTAGGAGAAGAGATCAAGACAATATAAAAAATCTGAAGAACTGTCAAGGTGTAGATAACTGGTTCTCACCAGTGACTATGAACGGGGTTTAATGAATCTTCAAAGGGACCACAAAACTGATTGTTACTGGAAGTTTGTACAAAAGAAGTTTGTTTGAAGAAAAATATTTCAAACAGGAGTTTAAAAAAAATGAAATAATGCGGGAAAAAACAAAGTAATAGTACTATTCGTTTTATTAACATTTTTTAAATTTTATCACTTTTCACTAGAACCTTACCTTAAAAAACATTTTTAAAATAAATAAATCTCCATTTAACTTATTTCATATTGAAAAAACTTCCGTTCAAACAAAATTTCCATCAAAACAATTTTCCCACTAACAAATTTCAGGATATGTAAGCTGCTGTAATGTAATTTATTAAAATTTTTCTATTTTAACTGAAAAAGTGTTAGGCTGAATGATATATTGTTTGAGGAGGTTTCATACTGGATATGATTAGTGAGTAACTTTTATTTTGATAAGCTATAAAAAAATTATTTTTAATAAGAACATTAAATGCTCACTATTTTGATAGCTCCTCCCACAGGCAAACATTTTCAGGGGTAAAACTTTGTCTCCTATACATGTTTTTGCCACATATCCTAAAATAAAAAATTGAAACAAATTATGATCACAGCAGATGGTTGAAGCAATGAACAGCAAGGAAGATGATGGAATTGCATTTCTGTTTCACTAAATGAAAACTTACATGTCTGTTTTTCATTTAACTTTATCAATTTTTGTAGCTGTTGAGACTAAATTATAGATCATAAAGTTACCTTATAAATGTTGCAGGGGAGACAAGAAGATCTTGAACTTACCTACAAATGTTGCAGGGGAGATGCCTATTAGATGGTTCATGGGTTCTACATCTTCTTTAAAAGCTTCCTTCATTGTTAGCACCTATGTATCAAACCAATAAAAAACAGGAGATCAAGTACTTTTCAATTGTCTAACATAACGATTGAAATGTGAATGTAGTACAGAAGATTACCATTGTCTTTTTCTAGAAAAAATAAAATGTTATCAAATGCATTACATATGCAATTTTGTATATTCTCTTCGGTTTTGAAACACAACTAATAGAATCTGTTAGCAGTAATTTTAGTAACAATAAGATTTCTAATCAACATTTTCACATAATTTTTCATTTCCATTGGAAATATAATATTTTATTAAGCAAGATGACAATTTTTCAGATTCTTACTTTGTTACAAAACATAACATTTTCGGTACAAAACTATACTGTTGTCTTTTCTTTTTTCGTTCTTTAAAACCTGATATTATTTACCTCATGTGGATTGTGTATATCAAGACCGCAGCCTTCCTGTGGAAAGATAAATTGAAATACTTAAAGTGGCACATGGTAGGATTTAATTCCTTTTCTTCTCAACACAGTTGTGGTCGTCCCCCCCCGTTGCCCCCCAATCTGCCCATTGGGCATAGTGGTGATGTCATTTTTTACCAAGTTCAACAAATTAAACAAAAAACTCACATATAGCTTAGAGAATAATAAACTTACAATAATTGGGGATTTAAAAAACTCAGGACCTGCCATGAAGCGGTAGTTGTGAGATTTGAGGTACTTGACCACCTTGTTTGTCAGCGCAAGCTCTGCCTTTGCCAGATCCCCTTTCAAATAGTATGCCTTGGGGCCAACAGTGCTGCGATTCAAGGGTTTAAAAAAAAATCAATCAGGTATTACAGAAGGTTATCTGAGACAGGCAGAAACAAGGAGAAAATGACGGCAAACTTTGAACAGAACAATGGAAGGCAAAAAAATAAAGAACAATGAAACCAGCACTATGAAAACGTTTATATTATATGAGCTAAGAAATGAGATTTATTGTAGAGGAGTAGATGGATGCTAGCAGAGGTGATAGTTTTTTGTTGAGCCAATGATGGAAGGTCTTATCTTTGCGTTGTTTGGTTATTTCAGTCAACATCTTCAATTTTCAATATTTTCATAGACGTATTTTAGAAAATTTTCTCTAGGGCAATGTTTTTTTTTAAATTTGTATTTATATAAGAGAAATAAAAGACCAATACCTGAATTTTATAAGGTCAAATTTTTTAGCAATATTTATATGGCTTGAATTCTCTGTTGAGTCTGATGAGAAAAAAAAAAAGAAGAAAAAAGAATGTCTTTGAATTAGTTTTAATAGTGAAGTCATTTAGTAAAAATGTGAAGGCTGTTTAATAACAAGCATGAATAAATGGTCTTCATTTCAATGAAAGAAAAACTTTTCATACCTTTTGATCCTTTGTGTTCTCTCAATATCTGTCTTTTATCAAGAGGCTGTAAAAAAAAATAATTTACACACTATGATAATTTTAATGTTAGTTTACTGATCGGTCAAAGTTTTTAAGCTGCACTTATCTCAAGTTGAGATTTTTTAACAACAGTTACAACAAAAAATTTGGTACATAAATGTTTAGTTTGTGAAGAAACAGTAACTGAGAAGTGGTTACTGACAATATTGCATCTAAGAGATGTAAAGTTACAAAAAAAGAGTTTATTTTTTCTCCATTCAAATATCTACACTCAACACCAACAGCTGGAGCCTTTATTTCATATAGGTATACTTGATTGAATTTAGCAAACTGATATACAATAAAGTTGAGATTTTTAAAGGGATATAAGAATCATATTTATGTTCTAAAAATTGTGAGGTGGATGGGACTCGTTAACCTTGGACGGCAACCCATCTAAGAGAAGGCAAACTGAATTTAAACCAGGAGCCAGAATGATCAACCAATTGATCGTGGCCCCTCAAATGTAAAAAGAAGAAGAACTGAAAATTCATATGTACCCTAAAACATTCATACACATCATCACATCAAACACATCACCTCAATAAACATATAATCATATCCCACATATCGCATCACTAACATGACTCCCTTCACACACAACAACATATCACACACTTCAAAATATTACACACAACATATCACACACATACATCACACACATCCTTACATTTACATCACACACATCATTACATCACATAAATCCTCAAATCACACAGTTTTAATATTGCAGATGGTGAGAAGCCAGCCAGTTTATTAAAAAAAACCTCTTATACTACTGGTATACTATATGTTACAGTTTTGGGAACATCCCTATTAAAATTCTGATACCCACAATGCCCAAAGCTATATCACCAAATTTTACTTACTGTTGTAATATGTAAGTCATTCGGAAGCTTCAAACATCGGTACATTATACTCTCTTCTAGTTCCCAATAAGGCTGAAATTAAGAATTAACGCAAAAAAAACTGTATTACTAAAAAACTGGGTATGAAGTGAAAAGTCTAACACAGTGACAACCACATGAATATTAAACTATTATTTATAATTATAAACTAATAATAGCCTTGCCGCAAAATTCATTTTAAAGATACCCCCTGAAGACAAGAGCTTCCAATGACCTTTTTTTTCTCCTCTTCATCATACATAAGCAATGTTGTAAAAAAGTAATACTTCTTTAACAAGAAGAATGCAATACTTGTAATACAAATCTCACATTTGCCAATGTGTACAAACATTTTGCAGACCATAAAGTAGGTAACTCTGGTCTAGACAGTGTTTTCTAAAAATTTCTGCTCGATTTTACTTTTGTCTGCATAAAAATTTTTTTCATATGAAGATCTCGAGGTATGAAATAAACAAAAAAAGTTTCGAAATTTTTTCTATAAATTCTTACAGTTTGAAGGTTAATTTTTCCTTTCACTATTGCTAGTTTCTTCTGTAAATCTTGTAGAGGTGATTCGACACCAGCGTCTGAGCCCTGTGAACAATGAAGCACACGGTATACTTTTTTTGAACTGGTATGCTTATAATTAATTGAGAAGCAAAGTTTCATAAAAGGTTAATACCACTAGTGCTTTTTACTATTCCACAGAATGCAAATCATCAATTTAACCTATAGTGAATGCTTGACATAACATTTATTAATTAAGTCTATGACATGTTTTTTTTTCTAAAATTATAAATCGATCAACACATATGATGGTTAAAATTGCTATAGCATTGCAAAATATCATATGAAAAATCCCCTTCTAAACTAACCATAGAATAGTTTTGAAACTCTGAGAATTTTGCTATTTTTTGGGTTTACATATCTAGGTTGTCAAATAGTGAGTGTTTACATTTCTTCTTCTTCTTCTTTATTTTAAGGGCCCACGATCAATGAATTGATCATTCTGGCTCCTATATATATTCTAATATTCTATTTGTCCAAAAAGCTCATAAATATGCATAGTGTGCCCTTAAGTGCATACAAAACACTGTTGACATATACATTTTTAATGTTCCTTACTATGGATTTCTCATTCAATAATTTCAACTCTGTTAGAATTTGATCCCTCTCTCCAGCAAGGTCAGCCCTTTGCTTCTTGAATAACTGAAACTTTTTATAGTCTGTCACCTGATAAATATATTTTAATGAGATTATAAGAGAGCAAACTTAGGAAAACTGAATGACAGATCCAAGAAATTTAAAAGCGATTTTCACTATAGTATCTTCTATGATTTTATCTTAAAGCTTTTTAGTCTTTTTTAAACTAGATTTCTTCATAATGATTTTGTTTGTTAAACAATAATTATTATTCATCAGATGAATTACCACACCCCTTCATTAGTGTAATCTTTAAGATCAAGACTTGTTTCATCATTGATATAGTTATAAAAAAATTATTTAAAAACTGATTCATCCAAATTACTTACTAGCTGGCAAACATCAATGTTAGCTCCTCTTGCTTCAACATTGAATTTTAATTTTTGCGCTGATTCGTCCAGCAACCTGTTTTCTAAGTCAAGGTCTAAGTTAACTTGGGCACCATATTCTCCTCCCACTGCGTTACTTACAAATAGCCAAGAAAAAGGCTGATTTTCAAATGCTATACTTTCAGTTGCATGATGTTGCCTTTTACAGTAAATTTGATTGATTTTGGTCAAGCTTTGATAAATTTGTCGCAAAATGCAAGAATTCATGGCTGATTCAGATACAGACGAAGTAGAAGATACTGCACATTGGTAAGTCACAAATGGGGAAAATGATGTTCTTTGCAAATAAAAAGAAAAAGTAAAAAAATTAAATTTTTAATCAATTCAAGCTATTACTCTGATGGTGTTCATTTGAGTATATTATCAATAGAAATAATAATAATTATGTTTTATTTAGAAAATAATTTAACATAGTGAAACCACCAAATGTTAATATAAATCAATGATTATGATTTTACTTTTTATTAATGTAACAACCCAAACTTCACGTTCTAGAACCCATTTTTGTAACACATAACAGTAACGCCATTTCATGATAATTGATAAATAATAATTTTTTTAAGTTAAATAAAAAATACTTTACTTAAAAAATGCTGAAATATCAGTGTTTATTTACAGAAACACTGAAAACCCAATGCTCAGGTTTTTGTGCAGGTCGATATGACATGTGACAGCGGAACTTTTTATCTCTGTTGCCAATAAGGGTGCACTGGATTTAAAGGCGCACATGTTAAAGCATATTAAGAGTGTTCTTGGAAAAGTGTTCAACAAAAGTTACAAATTTTTCGTAATACCGGGTTCGAACAGCAATGAATCAGTTTCAGCATAATGGCGTTTCAAGCTATCAAGCACCATCACAGCTATAAACAATGGACTGCAGCTCTCGCTAATTAAAAACAATTTTATCTGATTCTAATATTACATGCAAAAATCAGAAATGTAATGTGTACTGAACACTCACTTATACAAGTTTATAATTGAAACAATTTAAAATAAGAACAATATTTTATTAAGTTTAACCATACTTTTATTAGTACAACTATTAGCACAAGGATCCAGCTATGGGTTGGTTACCGGATTTGATGAACATTTTTAGTGTCCTCTTTTTCATCTGATGACTTATGTTAACCCTACCCAGGGGGTGCTCGGTAGCATTTCAGTTTCAGGGGGTGCAACAACAAGGTAAGGCATTATACTAACAGAGGAGACATTAGGCTAATTAATAAGCTTTTAAGTTACGGATTAAATTTTTATATATATTTTAACATTTCTTCATTTACATTATCCTTTATGATAAAGTTTATGCAATAAGTATAAGTCACACATGTATTTTCTACATGCTACATTGACATTTATACTAATACTACTACTACAGTTGAGTTCTCTTTGGCTCTGCAATTAAATAAATTAGAAGTCAATTAATTTCATATTTTAAACATGTTCACATTGATTATTACTCATTATTAGTAATTATTAATACAATAGTAATATCCCCCCTCCCCCCCTTATATTATATTTATTTATACCTCTAACTTGTAGGACATAGGCATAGGGATGTGAGTATTGTGAGACTTAATAATTAGTGTAAAACAATTTGTAGGGGCAGGGGGTACGCTGTACAGATTTTAATTTTAGAAATGGTTGGGAAGCACTGCTGTAAATATAGTACCACCACTGTGAAGACAAAATCAGGCAGAGATGATGTAAATTGTGTCCCTGATTTTGTCTTGACAGATTGACAGTCTCATACTCATAATAACAAAATATTTTAAAGTCTGTGACTGACACAATTAAGGTTACACAGGTAGAAGCACACAATATAACAGACTATGTCTAGTCCTATATTTAATTATTACATTAATGCTTTAATCTTGATTGGATTAAACGATGAAAAATATGTGAAATATGTGTTTAGAGTTCAGTGGTTTATTTATTTTTCGTTTAATATGGGGGCTGACATATTGAATATAAAGAAGTCAAATCGAATTTACAAAACAAAACTATTTATAATAATCAAGTTTTTAACTTAAAACTTCTTAGAAACACTTTTTATTTTTGAAAATAATTAAAATAAAGTTTACATTATTAATTTACTAATTGATCCATTCAAATTTATTTACAATAGCAACAAGAAAAATAAATTAAATCGTAGAAAGAGGATTTACCAATTTCGCTATATTCATTTAGTTGCCACCGCAAATTTCAGTTTCTGAAAATCGAGCATTAAAAATTACGTGTGTAACTTTTAAAAGATTTTAATTATTTCCTAATACAAAGAATGTCATTAGAAATATTCCATAGAACGCATTCTCCTTAAGCATATAACAAGATATAAAAAAGAAAGCAAGTTACATCAAAAATTGGTTTCCAAAGTCACGAAAAGGGCAACAGAACTGAGATACCGAGACAACAGGTCGCTACCGGCGAGACATCTCGTCCGCATCCTTTAGCCTTAATTTTCACATTTTCAGGTATATTTTAATACCATAAATCGTCTACGGCTATAATAGTTTTATTTGTCACAATAATCTTTTCCTTTAAACCATTTGTGCTCATTATTTAATTCAAATAAAGATGACGACTTAGACGGGGTCTAACCCAGGATTTCTTCTTCTATATTTTGAGGGTCCACGATCAAAATCAATGTATTGATCATTCTGGCTCCTATAAATAATAATCTCCAATGTCTTAGAGTACTTTTTAGCCTAGCCTTTTTAAGAAGTAAGACTGTCCAGAATATGCCTACTCACTCTTTCTTTTTATATATCTTTATACTTTATATAACAACCTACTTTTGCTGACTCCACTCCAATGAAATGAACATTTTAAAAAAATTAAAGAAGAGAAATCAGTTAAACCCCAGTGACAATATCTAAATGGCTCAGATATAAAAAAGTCCCAATTTTGATGTTATTGAATTAAAAATGATACAATCTTTGCTTCAAAATGTGTAAAATAAGTATTTATTATCCATAAATAGGATTTTATTAATTTATTATGATAATTATTGAGGGCCTGACGCCAGTGTAAACAAATTTGGGGTAATATTTAAAAAAGTTCTCCCAACCCTGTTTTAGGTAAATCCTGTCAAAAGCATATTTCAAGCAGTTTAAAAGTTACAATTTTTATCGCATCAGATTCAATTAACAAAGTGTACAACAGGGCCTAAAAAGTTGCTTAATTTATATAAACATACGGTAATAATTAGTTTATTAACCACTTCATTACCAATGACGTCGACGTCAGGATCACCCACTTTCAATTACCAAGGACGTCACATCCACGAACTTTTCTGAAATACCGCAGGACGTCACGTCGATGTCATATTTCAGTGCTATATATTTCCTGATTCGTTAAGCTATAGAGAAGTTAAAAAGCGAATCGGATAGAGAATGAAATATACCGAAAATTTCATCTTTAAATTATTGCTGAGTCAGCAAAAATTGATGCCCAAAACCCTGCGGTAATGAAGTGGTGAATATTAATAAAAGACTAACATTGTTTAATCCATTTATATTGGCATTTTTTATTTTTATATTTAAAAATAATTTTATAACAATCTTTATAAAACTCTAGTCTGTAAGTTGGTCAAAAAAAGTGAAAATCTTCTTTATAATCAACAGGGGCCATCCATATTTGATGTCACACTTCTGGGCGGGTGAATGGTGGGTCACAACTTTGTGACTATGGGTGTCTAAATTTGTGATGATTTTTTTTGGAGGTGTGTGTTAAAAAATAATTCAAAATAACGTGTCATTTATGGATGGCTCCACATATCCAAAAGCTGTTGATAAAAGTTAAATCATAATAAAATAAGGCCTTCACATTTCAGAATTGATTAAGGCAATAGTTATAAATTAATCCATAACTGTGTATACTTTTTGTAAATCAGGTTACTTCTTAACATTCAATGTCTCAATTCGATGAATGACTAAGAAATCTATGAATTTAAACTAATGTAATTTGTATTAAATATGTTATTTTTCTTCTAATTTTAGCAGTTTTATGAAATGGGAGACCTAATGTAAATACCAGAAGCTAAATTATTTTATCTGCCATGACTCAGAGTGCATTGACCAGCCTTGGAAATTTTGCAGAAATTGATGCAGATATGGAAGATAGTGCACAACAATTTTGTCCTTGCTGTCAAAACTCCTATTCATGGGGAGATGAAGTCACTGAATGTGTTCCAACTGAATTAACATGCAGGCACACTCTTTGTTCAACAGTAAGGATAAATATATATTTATTTTATAATTTTTCACCATAAGAACATTGATAGTGTCAAGGGTATGAGAATAACTGTTGCTAGAATGAACACTATTTTTGAGTCATCATTGTTATTATTGTGTCTGAATGACCATTGGATGACAGGAATGAAATGTGTGGATATAAGGCATGAGATAGAGAGATATGAAGAGAGTTTTTTAGTGAGATAGTTATGAGACGTTTGTGAGTGATAGCTCCAGTGTTTTAGATAGACAGGTAGTTATAAGGAGATACTGTAACCAAGTGAATCTGCCCGTAAATACTAGAAGATGCTAGACTAGAATAACAGACAGGCATAATATTATCAAGGCTGGTGCACAGTATCTGAAGCTGCTATGCAAAGAAAATTAAGGCACCAATATAGACTTCCTTGCTATAAAATTTATTTCAAGAAGAAAATAATACGAAATTACACTAATGATGGAATAATTTTTGACTTCGCTTACAATTTTTAGACAACTATTTGTTTCTAATCTCCTTGTATTTTCACTTAAACCACAAAAACTATCATCTTGAGCTATTTGCTGTAGTTGTTCAAATAATGATAAAACTAGCCCTCGCAAATCACCCTTTATTTGCATTCTTTTTTCATGTAAACTATAATATTAGGAATCATTATCTATAGTTGTCCAATTTTCATTCATTAAAGTTAAAAGTAAACAATCTTGACAAACAAAACAAAAAAAAGGTCACCACTTAAAGGTGGCAATATGAGTCATTAAAAAACCAGAATTCAGATCCTATGCAAATTTACATGGTCAATTAAATACATTATTTGGTGAGTGGAAATTTTTTTTTTTTTAAATTCTGCTTAGTTTTCATTTAATACAAGTACAAGCAATATCACATTTTTTCAAATTGCATCTTTCTTGTTGAAAATGATTGGCATTCAGTCCAGAGCATAAAAAAATCTTCAAAGTACATAATCTGAGGCATAGGCCTTCTACAAGAATTCTCCATTCATCTCGGTCCTGTGCTTTCCTTTC